CATCTCATCTTTGATCAAGTATCTGGGAAGTAAATCTTCCCCCATGGAAAGTACAATCACACATGTCAGAGTCTAGAGTCAGATAGAAGTATAGATGTAGACAAAAATAATGACAAGTAGGTTGAGGATGGTCCCAACAATCCCCAGAAAGGCCAGGATGGACTCTTCCCTGCTCTCCCTCTTTTGTGGTCTTGGGGATTGATGGGTGATCGCATAGTTCAGCATTTTCGCCTGGTGGGTCAGTGTCTTTTTGAAGCCGGTCTGCATGAGAATGACAGATCCCTTTTACACAGAGAGGAGAAGAAATGATGAAAGAGAGAGCTTTCATAAATTATGCCATAACAAATGAAGAAGAAAATGTAGCACATACTGAGTGCAATAGTCATGAATTATTATTTTTTTAATTATGTCCTAAAATGAATGTATACTAGTTAACATTTGCATTCTCTGAATATTTGGTACTGTCACCTTGGTGAGACCCCATGCTAGCAAAAGGGGCAAATGACAACTCATGTTTCATCTGATCCAATAATTTGTTAAAGGTGGGGTAAGTGATTTCTGGTAGCCAATGTTGATATTTCAAATCACCAAAACAAACACGCCCCTACCCCAAAAGGGTCTCGCCCCTATTTTGATAGCTCCGCCCCACACATACGTACGCAACCCAGGCAACGATTAGTTCTGTGAAACAAAGCAAAACCAATGTTACACCGTGTCTACACCGGACGCGAGGCGAGCGGCGCGACAAAATCCTATAGAACTCATTATAATCAGTGATGCTGTCTTCACTGGATGCGGCGCGGCACGACAAATCCCCGACAGAAAACTGCTGCTGTGTTCTATTTATGACATATTGACAAAAATTTCAAATGATTTTCAACGGTCGCTTTATCGTATCCAGTGTAGACAGACTTTAGCTGTTGTGGCACGACAACGGTTGCGTCCGGTGTAGTCACGGTGTTACTCACCTATCAAGAAGAAACAAAGCAACCTCGGCGTCCAATCGCAGGCCTTCCGCTCCTTGAGTTCTCTCCAGCGCTGGAAAGCTGATCCGATATTTGCACGGGTCCTACTTCTTGCCTTATCGAAAGCCTTCTTTTGTTCCGCAGACGTTACTCTTTTGTTTTTTATCAGCCATCTCTATCTTTCTGTCGCTTGGCTCGGCTAATGTCCATCCTGTGCACTGAGCGCTCTCTCCTCCACATCATGAGTAGACACGCCCCTTACTGCTGATTGGCTACAAGTTTGTTTTGGTACTCGGTCCGAATCAGTTTTCTAAAGGGTTTTTGAAAAAAATACATACCCCACCTTTAAATAAATAAATGAATTGCAATTCAGACAATCAATGACTTGAATGCCCCTCTTCTATAATAAATGTTTTCATTTTCGAATTAAAAATTATACATTCAAATTAAGAGTGATACTACTATCCTGATTTCATAATGATTATATATATTTTTTCATTATATTAAGTTTTTTAAATGGTTTGGAATAATCATATTCTTGTTTTTAGATTATTATATTATTAAAAAAAAATAATAAAGCTGATTCACTGCGTATTATTTGAAAAATTATGTGCAATTAACACAAAATAAAAGTACCAACAGAAATGTTAATTGGGAATTTTTACCTTGAACAATATAAAATCATTAAAATAAATAATTAAAAGATAAAAATCTGAAGTAGTTTGGCATGAGCTTACATTATTATTTTATTATAATTTAAATAAAAAATTAATAAAACTGCTTATTATTATCTGAAAATCATGTGGGGCAATTAACATGCAAAAAAAAAAAATCAACAAAAATACAAAGAGCTGTAAGAAGACTAGATTTTTCAAACATCTTTTCTTTTTTTTTCATTTTGTTATTTGTCACAGAAGACCATGTCCACTCTACAAATGAATGGCACCATTTGGGTTTCATCAGATCCATTGGCTGAACCCTCTCGAAAAACCAATCAATTATTCCAAACCACTTGTCCTGTGTAGGGTCACTGCGGTGCAGCATTATGATGACCAGATGGACAGTCACACCTTCACACACACAAACAATGTACCCAATTCACATTATGCTGCATGTCTTTGGTTTGTGGGGGAAAGAGAACATGGAGGAACCCACGCCTGGACTAAAACTTCTTGCTGTGAGACAACTTTGTGCCAAATGACTGAATAACCTATTCAAGGAGGACAATTCTATGAAAAAGTTTCTGCAAGACAAACTGTCAAAGGTTCCTCTAATAACCCCATAATAAGATACATCGTTTTGAAGCACTTGAAATGTATTTGAAGTTCCTTGAGTACAAAGATTTTAAAAAATCCCTGAAAAGGGTTAATTCCTACACTCAAAGGGTTCTTTATTGGCAGCTCTGGTTCCATTTAACATTGATGGAAGCTTTCCATTGCACAAAAGGTTCTTTATTGGAAAACGGTTCTTCAGATGATTAAAATGTCTTTCACACTAAGAAAAATGGTTCTTTTAAGAACTGAAATGTTCTTTGAGCTCAAAATTGCATTGCTACAAAAAAAAATCCCTTTTGAAACCTCTATTTTTTAAAAACGCAAGCTAGAGGTTCTCCAGAGGGTTCAGCCAAACCTTTTCGTCTTGGACATTAAATTGCATTACACTAACTCAGACAGAGCATCTCTTGTTTACAAGGCCTGTTTCTGCATAAACACTTGAATGTAAGGTAGACTGCTGACCCCTAGTGGCTCGTTCAACCTATTTCATCTCAACTGCTTTAACTTTATATGATCATGTTAATGAGAGGTGCTTACCCAACACAGCATCTGTAAAAGTTCCTCACCTTAAATCGTCTTATCTGGGAAAGATTGTGGAAAATTCTGTCTCACCATGTTCCAGGACTCCAAGGTTTGGTCCTCCTTAGCCCACCTATGGACAAAGGCTTATTTAGATCCATCTTCACACAGTAGCCTATGTGTTGACTATGGCTATAACTGAGATGCTTACACCATTTCTTTCCCATCTTCGATTTCTTCCAGAAAAACATCTTCCAAAAATCAGATGAGCACAGTCTATTGTGTGCCACAAGTGTCGAGCCAGGGATTTGGTCTTGGAGGTTCTGGCACCAGTGTTTATATTAATGCCATGGAAATTCATAGCGAACTGACACTTTTAGATTTCCATTTCTGAGTGTTTTTGAAGATGTAGCTCTGACAGCTGCTGTAGTACCTTCTTCCTGTTCGGGTCTCAGCTGTCTACATCTACCTACAGCAGAGGAGGTGTCAGACACTCTTCAGGCACTGGCACCAATGACCTGATTCTGTTGGCAAACCAAATTCACCTGGAGAATAGTGGCATTCACTGCTCCCTCTGCCTCATATTAGAAAACCTGGTGTCGCCTAGCAACCAGCTTAGAGGGAGGCGAAGGAGTGCTGGGATGTGAAGGCTTTTGAGAGGACGGTGAATGCAGGCAGATTGTTGCAGCTGGCAAATCAGGCATCTTTTACTAAAAAAAAATATATATATATATATCCTAAAACATTTCTACATTTCAATATATTAAATCATTTAAACAAATGTGATGTAGATATAAAAACGATGGATATAAAAAAACTGAATAAACCACCTCTATGATGACCATATTTTTAATTTTGATACTGGGGCATAAAGTAATACACACATCTGGGTATTTTATTTAATTTTATTAAAAAATCAATAAATCCTGGAAAGGTCTCCAAGCTGACCCTCATAACTTGGTGTCAAGGCCAAAAAGTCTCTTAAAATATCAGATATTTCTACCTTTTTATGACAAGCAAAATTAGTTTGTCGTGTGGTGCAAGTCTCCAAAAATGTCATGTTTTTTCCCCTTGAAACTATATTTATAAACTTTTCTTGGTTTTCAAAACCCAAATTAAACCAACCTGAATGTATAATTAAAGTAATATTAGTAACAATTAAAATAAAATTGTTTAAAATTTAAATACATTTTATGAAAATAATAAAATGAAGTAATTTTCTTAACTAAATTTTTATAAATTTCCTTTTTTATCCCCATTGATACTCATCAGTAATCTGTCGTTAATGACATCAGTTTTGCTATTCTGCAATTAATGAACATTTCAGAATATGTCAATACAGTCTGTAAAATACTATTGCGTACTCTAGTGGACACAGGTGAAACAACAATTACCACTTTTTTTTTCCAACAGAGAATTTACTATTGCATATTATGTCTGCATGTGTATGTATGTATGTGTGTGTGTGTATATAATACACACACACACACACACACAATTTAACACCCGTTTCTTGATTAATGCCTTTATCAGACTCCAAATTTTGTCAATGACACTGCTTTTTACGATCTACAGTGAATATAGAAGTTAGGAGTTGAAATACAAAACCCTTGAAACAATAAGGTGAATCTCTTCATACTTGTAAGTATCAAGTAGGAGCTGTTCATGTATTTTATCTCACAGAACTGCATCTGCAAAGATCTTTAAAAACGTCTCACCATTAAGGTTAAATAGATACTGTTGCTCCACACGATTAGAACATCTTACACGAGTTACTGGCACAAAAGTGTTGAGTATTACCCTCTCTCTCTCTCTCTCTCTCTGGCAGGACAAATTCTAAACATGTCTTTAGACAAGAAATAACACCTGACTGACAAATATACAGGTTTTACAGAATGAGGAAGAGGGAAATCTCTTTCTGAATCAACAAGCATATTCTTCGTAATGACATCAGACACACAGAATTCATAATCTTGTGACACACCCAGCAGATTTAGTTTCGAACAATGGGTGCTTTAAAATATTTTATTGACAAAAAATGATATACATCTAAAATACATTTAATACTATATTTGAAAATACAACATTTTAAATATGCAGTGGTCTAGCATTAGAGTATCTGAAATAAAGACAAACATACTGCAATAGAAAATGCAATCATTTGTGTGTAATACGGTAATTCTATGTCAAGTGTTTTACAGTGATTTTTCAGAATTTGGGAGGTTTGACATCACTTCCTTCAGTAAGCGGAGGACAGTTTGGACTTCAGCAGGTCAAGTCTCCATTCACAAGTCAAACCTTTGGAAGGTTTACGTCAATGAACAATCATCCCAAAGACTCGTCTTTGCTGACTAGACTCCTACTTGGACTCTTTCTCTTGATCCAGGAGAGCTGATCTGATTCCCAGCTTCTGAAGTTCCTCTACCAAATCTCCACTCTGATGCATCTGAAGAAGAATATCACAGCCGCCAAAAAAATCACCATTGATGAACACCTGTGGAATCGTCGGCCAGTTGGAAAAAGTCTTTATTCCTTTTAGGGAAAACAAAGTCACATGTCAGTAGTTTTATTTAGCATAACTATTTCCATCTCTTTTTAATTCTCCTTAATCACTTCAGAGTCTAGGCTTTACTGTTCGGAAACTAACCTCAGTCATGTAAGGTTAACACCCCTTTCTTCCTGCTGCACAGGACTGATAAAGGCAATCAGAGCCGACAGGACTGGACTGCTGGTGCTGTTAACCTACTTGTGCTGTACTGACCAAACTAACAAGTTTCAGACCCAAATCGACTTTCATTGTATGTATAAAAATTTTAGAAGCCCGTTTCTGCTACAGTTAAGTAGAAATTCTGTAATTCAGAAACATCTCATAATTAGAAGAACATTTGTAGTAATAATGAGAAAAATTCTCATAAACGTAGTTTCTCGATTATTGTAACATTTCAAGTCAATATTATGAGGAAAAAAAATCAAACGAGAAGCTGTCATAATTTATTTCCTCATTAATATCTTGCAATAATGACTAAACATCTCATAATAATGATAAACTCTCATGTAATAATGTCCTGGTTTCTCATAAAAATTCCTCATAACTTATTTCTTATGTTTCTTACTATTTTGAGATGTTAAGTGATTGCCTTGTAACAATGAGAAACTGTCTTGTAATAATGGAAAATGTTCTTATGATAATAATTCATCTAATTAACATCTCGTAATAGTGACTCAACATCTCATAATAAGAAACTTTCTGATACTAATAAATGTCAAGTCATTATTACGAGACAACATTTCATAATAATGAGTAACTGTCTCGTAATTAGAAACCTTCTTATAATAATAACTTGTTTCTCATTATTATCTCATAGTAATGACTAAACATCTCAATCATGAGAAACTTCCATGTAACAATGCCTTGGTTTCTCATTAAAATTAGAAACTTCCTTATTATAATGACTAAACATCCCAAAAATCTGAAACTTACTCATAATAATAACTGTTTCTAATTATTGTTAAATGTCAAGTCATTATTATGATAAAACTTCTTGTAATAATAACAAAACGGTATTATAAAGAATAACTCAAAATAACTTAGTTTCTAACTCATATCTCATAACAATTACTAAACAATTATATTATTTCTGCCAATATTATTATTTATAATATGAATATTATTTTCTAATTGTAATTATACTTTCTCAAAAGGACAACTTAAGTTTCTAATTAATATCTCATAATAGTGACTAAATAGCTAATGAGAAACTTTCTCGTTATAAGGACGAAGGAGTTTTTGATTACTGTGAGATACTGAGTAAATATTATGAGAAAAGATCTCATAATAATGAGATACCTTCTTGGAATAACTTAAAACCTCATAACGAGAAACTAAATCATTATTATATAAAACAAACAAACAAATTGTTAGTTTTTCTGTTTTTTCGAAATGTTACGACATTCTGATAATTATGAGAATGGTTATTGTCATTATGAGACACTAAGCTATAACTATGAGTTTCTTAATGATTAATAACTAAGGACTTAAAATGGAAATGGAAATTTTACAAAAAAAATTTACAAATGGAAATTTGTAAAATGTGTCACTAGCACAGGTTAAAAATGAACCACACAACAGATAAAATTGTCATCCAAGCCAATATCAAACTCCAGTTGGGTAAAAACTCCCAAAACCACTCAAACCACAATCACCAGGCACTGACCTTGTCTGATATCCTGATCATCCAGCACGTTATAAGCAGCATAGCTGTCGACCCCGTGCATTCTCAGGATCTGGACGACGGCGTTGCTGAAGCCGCACATGGGCTGTGCAGGAGTGCCTTTCATGAAGACCACCACTTTGTCCTTCTTCACCATCTCCTCCAGGGTCTTCTGGACCGCTGAGGAGGAGCACATGAGGCGGGCCCAAACAGACAGCAGCTCTCCGTTATTCTGCGCTGTTCTGTACGCGCCCGATCGAAGACACCGAGCTGCCGTTCTCATAATGCTGTTCATCGTTAAAGTCTGAAGGGTAAGGGTTTGGTAGAGATTAAAAGAGGTTTCAAATACGTTTGAAACTTCCCTTAACAAACGCCACAGAGCCTCGCCGAAGTAACTCACTCTCGCTGGACTCAAGCTACGCCCCCTCGAGTATAAACACTCGAAGGATGAAAGCTATTGGGTCTCGTTTTTGTCTTCTCCTCTCTGATTGGTTGAATACCCCGTCGGTCATGAATGTTACACCAGTTGCTTTTTCTCTTGATCTCTGACAGCTTCTATTTTAGCAGTGTAAAGTATTTTATGAAATGTATCTACTGTTACATGTATCGCCACTGTAATTTAAAAACGTCTGTTGCTTTTTCTTGTAAGAAGTAATTAGTGGAGGCGTTTACATCCGGTTAGAATGCACTCTAGCTTTTTCTTCCGGCACGTTACATGCTCCCCCCGACTCATTTCTGTGAATCGGTTCTTTCAAAAATTTCGTTGTAACGATCCGGTTCAAATAAACGACTCAGTGATTCATCTTTTCAGTTCATTGTGTTTAATTGATTCAGCTCATAAAATACATTGTAATTAGCATTTTTAACAATAGTAAAAATAGACTCGCCATTGAGAGAACGGATTCAGTCAGATTCGTAAACGAATCGTTAGACCGTTTTATTGAAACGGTTCAACCGAATCAGTGTTTTGACTCAGAATGAATGATTCATTCACGAAGCTCTATTTAAGTGAATGTTGCTGTAGTTTGTGTTTGGAGTGGACTGGTGAAATCCTCGTTTATTTTCTTACAGCTTGTAAGAGGTAAGGGACGTTTATCTACCCGTTAATAACAGTGCAGTCTCGAGATCCTGTCTCCTGTATCAGCAGTGGCTGGAGACTCAGCGAGGCTGCACAGATAAAACCGAAGGAGCAAAAGGCGTGACTTCTCTAGACTCTGAAGTTTTACGTGCGATATTCCTTCAACAAGTTTTGTCAGAGGAAGGTGAAATGCCTTTGAGCCTAAGACGAAAGCTGCTTGTAAATGACTGGATTAGTTTGAAGGGACAGATAGATAGTCACCCAACCAAAAGAGCGTTACAAGACAATTGGGAAAAGGGAAAAAAAATAGTTTTGGTTGGACAGGAGATGATGCTGCACGTGACCTGGGAGTATATGGAAAGGAGTTTTGTAAAACTGTGGTATGGCCCAGTATCCCTATGCGGAAGTTTGACACTCCAATAGTGGATTGGGAGGTATTACAGACCAAAATAGCAAACAATCAAGTTGATTTGGTGACTGGATTTTATAGACATGTGAACCAGAAATACATTCATTTTAAGCACAGTTTTAGAGATGGATCAAAAGACCCAATAACAGGAGTTACAGGTGCTACAATTGTAGTTCCCAGCCAGAAGAGTGAAATGAGCTGGATAACTTCAGATCACTTAAGTGTATATGCTGTTGAGCTGTTTGCCATTTTGATGGCATTAGAATGGATTGAATATTCTAAGTTAAACAGAACTTTAATTTGCAGCGACTCTGTCTCTGTACTGCAGAGTCTCAAGACCGGCATAGTTAAGAATCATCAGGAGCTTTTTTATGATGTTATGTCTATCTATTCAAGAATAAAGGTGATGAGGTTATATTTATGTGGGTCCCAGCACATATGGGCATTATAGGAAATGAAAAGGTAACGTTAGACAAAATAGCTAAGAAAGCATTGCAAAAAGAGAGCATAGAGAACATTTCAAGATCAGAAGGAAAGAGTATAGTGTGGGGAAAAAATATTAAAGAATGGCAACAAAGGTGGGATCAAGAACTAAAAGGAATACATTTATACTTGATTAAAAAAAAGAGTTGGCACTGTGGAAAATAAGGGAGGAAACGGGAGAGAAGAGACTATTATGACCGGAGTAAGAATAGGGCATAATAAATTAAATAGCACTCTTCATTTTATTGGAAAACATCCAACTGGGTTTTGTGACCAGTGCCATAATACCTGAGACTGTAGAACATGTGCTTATTAATTGTTCAAAATATGAATTACAGAGGATGGATATGATAAATGACATGGAAAAAATAGGACTAACAGGACGTGGAGTAAAGAATATAATGGACTGCAGTAGGAGTGAACAAGGAATTAAATATTTGATTTGCTTTCTGACTAAAACGGGACTCATGACAAGAATATGATGACTAAAGTATATGGGAAATAACTATAACCAGAAGATGGCAGTAATACAACGTTAAGGATGCAAGCTGCCGTTAAAACCCAAAGAAGAACAACAAGTTTTGTCCTGTTTCCGCAGCGGTGATGGTTTGTTGTGTACCGTTACCAATCTAAAAAACAGGCAGAGTAAAGCAGCGGCAGTCAGGTATTGTCTGGCAGGAGAAGCGCGCCTTTCAGACACTTTGAATTGCTACAATTAAACGTTGTTTTGTAAACTGACAAAAGAATGGGGAAAAGCCACTACACTGATCAGTTCAGACCTGTTTTTATACAGTCTATGGTTCAGACTAACATCTCTCTCTCTCTCCCCCCCCC